CCTTGAATATACCTTGAATATACCACCTGTTTGCTAATAACTCCAAGAAAAGAATGTTGTAAAATGCTAGAAACACTTTTTAGGATCTGCTCGGGCGTCTTTTGGAGATCGAAAAGCAGAACTTTCCAGTCTATCCCAACATGGGCCCAGCTATGATATATATAATCCATTCTACATGTATCAGCACTTTTCACCTGATTTGAGTCGGAAACGTTTTCCTCACTCAGAAGCAACAAGACTATATGGATCAGGTATGAAAATTAATTAAAACACTGAAAAATTATTATTACAAAAAACTCTAAAATAAGTGAAAAATTAAGCTTTGTAAATGTTGTAACCATCATGATTTTCTGTTGTTATGCTCAATATAAAAATTGAAAACTTACTATGTCTATTGTACTATATCTATTGTCTAATGTACTATGTCTGTTCATAGTTCTAAATTCTATTTAATTTTTCCTATTTTGAAATTTTGTCTTTGAGTTATGTTATATATATTTTATGTATCATCTAACAAATTCTACAACAGATCATTATAAGCTTTTTGATTTTCTCTTCAGTTAAAATGAAGTTTAAATCATGTGATTAGAAATAAGTAAATAAAATAGAAAATTCTTATGTAATTTTAGATCTTATCAGCTTCATACTTGAAACTACCAATGAGAGACTACTCTGTACATCTTTGATTCATTAAATTTTCAGTTTTCAGGGTGTGGTCCTAAAAAGAAAAAAAATTTTTTTTTTGCCTAAGGGTCTGCCTTGTGCTTAAGAGAGACACTAGAAACACCAGGAATACATGGGATTCTGAATTGATTTTTTTATGTGACAAGTGCTTATGAAATAATAGTCAAATTACATTTAGTGCGGAGTATTCACAATCTCTTAGTTTATTCTAAGATTAGAAAATATAAGCAAAAAACCTTTTTGATACTTGATATGCATATAAAAATGTGATTGATTTCTGACTTAAGTTTTAAATAAAATAATTGAAAAAGAAATGTTTTAGATTTTATCAGACTATTGCTTATGTAGATTTGCACATAATGTTCATGATGTATTCCTGTAGAGATTTCAATTATGATAACTGCATAGGATTTCAGTGTTTTCTTTACTACAAAAGTACTTTTTTCTTGTCTCTTTATAGTTTGTGATTTAAGGACCAGTAAACTACCTGGCTCCCCTGGGCTAAGCAAATCTATGTTTGATCTTACAAGTTCATCTCAGCGATTCATACAGGTAGTTTTATAAGGTTAATTAGATTAAACAGTGTTGAACTGCTTTAGGAATAAGGCATGGAATATATTTTTTAGATGTATAGATATCTATTCTAATAACTCAACAGTAAGCGCTTATCATTTCCTATACGCATTATTTTAGGTAGTCCTCAGTTGATTAACAAAAGGCAGAATTTTCTTTTTGCTTTTCATAATTTGTATGTGACAATATGCACTTAAGGAATTTTGAGGCAACTGGGATTTAAAATAGTACATATAATAGTTGGAAGCTTATTAATTTAACCTTCCCTATTGAATATAACCAGCCAGTTATTAAAAAGTAGTATTTCTATTGAAATGTAAAACTTTAATTATTTGCTGATATTAACATTTTGTGCTGTTGAGAATTTTTTGATACTTTAAAACTTTCATCTTTAGTAGAGGTAAATTGTGAGTTTAAAATTCGGACATTGAGATAAGCAACATAAAAAGACATCATTAATATTCTTACATGTGAATGTAAAAACATGGTGAAAATGTTTTTAAATATACCTGTAGACTTCTTTCCCTGTGAATATATATACATAGTTTTCAGTAAAACTAATTTTTTAGAAACTTCATTCTTTATAGCAACAGTTATTTAACATGCATCAGAAATGTTTAGAGAGCTTATTAAAGTATGACTGCCAGGCCTTGCCCCCAGAGTTTTTGTGGGGCCTGAATTTTTAACATAATTTTTTTTTTTTTTGCGGAACCAGGGATTGAACTCAGGCCCTTGCGCTTGCCAGGGAAGCACTTATTCCACTGAGCCATCTCCCCAGCCCCTGAATTTTTATTTATACCAATTCCCCAAGTGTTGTTAACATTGCTGACTGAGTGACCATGTTTTAATAGTACTGTTTTACAGGTCTTTGGGTAACTGGGCACTTCCGAGCATATTTTTATTTTTTATTAATATTTTTGACTATGAAATTTTAGAAGTAATCTCTTTATTATAAAACCAAACCTTAAAAGTGCAATGGCTTTCCATTATATTATCTAGTAAGATATATAAGATTTTCTGGTAACGTACACAGAAAACTCCCTCTCCCATTTATTATATAAAAGTGAAGAGTTCTAATACTGTCAAAATGGCTAGGATACAGTTTAATACTAGAGTGGGTACTGGGACATAAACATCACAATACTTTAGGTTTTATATGCAATTTCTGACTGAAGAAAAATGTTTTAAAATTTTTATTTATAGAGACATGATTCATGGTCCAGTGTACCCAGTAGTTCTTCTTCAAGAAAAAATTCTCAGGGGAGTAACAGAAGCCTAGGTAAGGAATAAAGTATATTATTTTACACTCTGAAGGAAATTACTTCTTTCATAAGTAGTTTGAAAATATTTTAATAGATTTTTTAAAATTTTGTCTTTTGTCTATTTTGGCTGTATTATTAGCATATGGATACTCAGATAAGGTCTATTTCTTAATGACTAAACATGAATGGATTTTAAAAATTGAAGCTATTCAATATCTTTTGTTTGTTTTATTTTTTTTTAATGTTTTCAAAAATATTTGTTGACTGAATTACTGAATGAAGATATGTCAAACTGATTTCTTTAGGAACAAGAAGGGGAACATGTACAAATTAGATCGCAATAAAGACTTTTTAAAACTTACTTTAAAAACTATTCACCAAATCATGATCCTGTCTTTATGACAGAATTAACTCTTCCCAGAGACCATAAACCTCTGAAATTGCCTATCAAATGCATGATCTCTTCCCAATCTATCTTTCCAATCATGGGGACATCAAATACTTTCTTTTTTTTTCTTTTTTTTTTCTTTTTTAAATTAATTTTATTTTTTCCCCATAATTTTATTGATAAACAAATAGCAATGAGACAGTTGCAAATCAAATCGGTAGGTTTTGTTTGTTTTAAAGTAGATGAATGAAGGAACTTCCAGAAGTATTTAGTATTAAAACCTTATAAATATTATTTGGGAAATTTTTTTCAGAGTTCAGTCCATCACATTACAATTTGGATTTTAGCCTTGTGCTTTTTATGTTATACTGTTAGCCCAGCACTTTAATTGAAACATAGAAAGTTATTTTTGTCTTATTAAGTTGGGAGCTTCAAGAATTAATTGTAGGCTGCGTGTGGTGGAGCATGTCCACTTGAGGCAATAGGATTGCTGTGAGAGCAAGGCCACCCTGGGCTGCATAGTGAGTTCAAGGCCAGACTGAACTAGAGTTAGACCCTGTCTCAAAAAAAGAATTAATTATAGTATTTTTGAATTGTGCTTTTAAAATTTGATTGTGTCAAAGCTTAATTAGGTTAGAAACATTACATAGACTTTTAAACGTCTTTATTTTACAATTCAGATACAATTACTCTATCAGGAGATGAAAGAGATTTTGGAAGATTGAATGTGAAATTGTTTTATAATTCTTCAGTAGAGCAGATCTGGATCACAGTTTTACAGGTAAATTAAAATAGTTAATATATATTACAAAACTGAATATTTAGATGTTTTAAGTATATACTATTACCCCCTTCTGGGAAATGGGCCAATATTGTCTTTGGAATTTGTATTCTATAGTATTTTACAGAATATAATGTTTCATAAAATATTTAAGAAAACATCTGGGCATGGTGGCATGCTCCTATAATCCCAGCTATTTGGGAAACTGAGTAGAGGATCAAAAGTTAAGAGGCCAGCCTGAACAACGTAGTGGAACCCTATCTCAATAAATAAAACTAAAAGGATTGGAATGTAGCTTACTGGTATAACACTTGCCTTGCATATGTTAAGTGTTCATTCCTCAGTAATAGTAAGAAAAAAAAAAGAATCTGTAGAATGATGGAAATCTTGTTTTTACTTTCCAGAATGTAATTAGGTGGATATGATGGCACATACCTGTAATTGAGCAGTCAAAAGGCTAAGGCAGGAGTAAGACTGAGTTCAAGGCCAGCCTAAGCTAAATAGTGAGTTCAAGGCCATGTAGTTCATACATAGTGAGACTGTTTCTCAAAACACCAAAAAAGTAACTAAATGAAAGAAGAAAATAAAAAGAAAGTAATTGATATGACTTCTAGAATATTTAATGTGGATAAATCATGGTCTCATATAGTAAAGTATTTTATTTTTTTTTCCATAATTTTATTGATAAATAGCAATGAGACAGTTTCAAATCGAATCAGTAGGACAGTCCCAATAATTAACACATTGCATACATTCTTCCTAGTAATAAAGTATTTTAAACTTTTTATCTAGAGTCATTATATCAATAAATATATAAAAATTTGTAGAGTCCTTTGTAAAGTTCAAACTATGCTTTTAATCTTTTTCAGTGCAGAGATTTAAGTTGGCCCTCTAGTTGTGGAGATACTCCTACTATATCTATAAAAGGAATACTAACATTACCCAAACCAGTGCATTTCAAATCTTCAGCCAAAGAAGGTTCCAGTGTAAGTGGCTATTTGTGTTTGAATTTTTTTGTTTTGTTTTGTTTTTTCATATTTGTCACTTTTATCCATGTGAAGAATGAAAATAAGAAAGTTTTATATAGGGCACACTAAAAATTATGTGCTCTTGCTTTTTAAAGATAATTTTAAATTTCAAAAATTTGGTATTTCATTGTCCAATATAAAGAGGCAATTAAAAAGAAAATCCTAATTGCTAAAATATATAGAAGATTAACAATATCTGAGAAACTTACTTGCTTTTCTTACATGGAAGAAAAATAAATAAATAAATAAATATATATATATATATATATATATTCATTTTCTTTTGCCCTAATCCACTTTGGCTTTGAAAAATAATTGCATGATTGTGATGAATCTCTTACAAATCTTTAGAGGACTTCTGATCCTGAGTTTGATTTTATAGATTCTTATTTTCACATTAATTTAAATTTATTCTCACTAGTACTCAGAAACACAAATTTTAGTTACATATGGTATTGCTTTTTTTTTTGCTTATTAGAATTATGAAATATTTTACTAGTGCTATAGACCGTATAACTCTCTGGAAATTATTTTGATAATACATAGCAAAACCTTAAAATATTTATATATTCTAAATATATGAATATATGAATCTGTTCTACGGAAATAATCTAAAATGTAAATGAAACATAAAATACTCTGGTTAGTTTTGTTCATAGTGGAAAATTTGAAGACAATCTAAGTGCTTTATTTAGAGAAATGATTACAAAACCTCATGGCGTACCCTGTCCATTGATTTCCTAGGTTACTTTAACAAACCAGATAGCATAGATAAACAGCAGCAATCTTGGACTGCAGATATTGTAAAGTGCTTGCCTATCATGTGTAAGACCATGGATTCCATCACCAGCTTAGCAAACAAAACAAAAACCAAGCAAAACCCCAGAAATTTCTACTAGTTTTAGAAGTGGTCAAAATCAGTATTTCAACAATGTTGATTCATTTTTCAAGGAAAAAACTGTTTCATACCTCTTTCCCAAATTCTGTGAGAGTTAGTCATTCTTGGCATTCCTTATTCTTTGCCTTAAACATACTGACTCCAGTGTCCACTTCCACCTTCATGTATTTTTGTGTCTTCACATGGCCATCATCCTACAAACATATCAGTCATACTGGAGTAGGGGTTTACCATACTCCAGCATTAATTTTTTAAAAACTTGACTAATCATATCTGCAATGACCAAGTATGCAAGTGAGGTAACACTCGAAAGTACTAGGCTTAGAAATTCAACATAACTTTTTAGAGAATACAGTTCAATCTGTAATGCTGTGTGATAGGACCAGCAATGTAGCTCAGTGGCACAAGCACCAGCCTGGCAAATGCGCAGTCTTGAGGTCAATTGTTGGAAGGGAGAGAGAGAGGGAGAAGGAGTGGGAGAGGGAGGGAGGGAGGGAGAGGAAGAGAGGGAGAAAGGGAGAGAGGGAGAGAGAAAGGAAAGAATTGATTTTATGTGTTAGAGGACTAGGCAACTATGAAAAATAATACTTAGGAAGAATTTTAAGGATGTGGAAATGTGTTCTTAATGAATGGAATAACGAGTAATCAAAAGTTGGGATGTTAATACATGTATGTTTATGTCAGAATCTCACTTTGTGAAAATATGTGTAATAATCTACATGGCTTTTTCAGATAGGAAGACAACCAAGAGTTGCAGAGAGGAGAGGAGGGGGTAGGAAAAAATAGAATTAAAATATATGTGTACATGTACCAACTGCCCACAATAAATGCAGTCATCATGTGCTGTAAACATGTACTAATAAATAAAAAATGGAAGCATATGGAAAGAAATGTTGACACTATTATAATCCTAACAATCAAGGATGAATATTTCCCAAATTGAATAATTTTATTTTTTAATCTTCAAATATAACTAACTTCACTTAGGAAAAGTTAGGGAAAATGTTCTTATATTAAAAGCTATATGAAATCTTTTTTAACCGGGGATTGAACTCAAACCCTTGTGCTTGCCAAGGAAGCGCTTATTCTACTGAGCCATTTCCCCAGCCCCAAAATCTTTTTTTTTTAAATTTTATTTGTATATATCAGAGTGTTTGGGAGATCTTATTGTGGCAAACTGGAAAATGTGTCGTAAACCAACACACTTGCTTAATTTGTAATGTTGTTTAAAAATTTATGTATACATATATTTATTTTTGGTGCAAATTGATTGCTTGAGTGTCTAAAAAGAAGATATTTCAGAGGTTGGAAGACTTGTAGAAACACAATTCTGACTAAGTAGACAAAAGTGATTATATATAATAAGAGTAAAATTTGGGGCACAGTATTCAAAATACATATATATATATATATATATTAGTTGCCCAATTATTGTACCTTTTCAAAGAATGTGCTAAACATGACATGAAGAAACTATTCAGCAAAGAACAGTCCGGTCACTGTTAAGGAGATAATTCTGTTCTCTGTGAAAAGTTAAAATCTGAAAAAAGAACAGAAAAGTTAAAATCTGGGTATTGAGTGTGCTCTCATCTGAGATTCTTAAGCCACCCTCAACTATTGAAGAATGTGGTGAATGGCAGGAAAAATGCTCTAGAACCAAACGTGTAGAACATCTAGTTTTTGAAAAGGAATAAGCTGTATATTCTGGTGGGCTTAATGTTGATACTGACCTGAAAATTTCTAAGTAATTAAAAAAGATTATTTATGAAAGGAAGTAGTATTCAAGATAAGCTTCAAAAATAAGTTGTAGCCCTTCTCATTTTCATTTGCATTAAAAATACTTTTGTTGTTAGAAAAAAATCTTTGCTAGATGTAAACTGAAATATTTTGAATGACATATCAGCCTTTCATTTCAGTTCTCTTATTTATATATTTTATATGTTCTTACATTGTTAAGGCTATTGAATTTATGGAAACTTTTGTATTTGCTATTAAACTACAACATCTACAAACTGTGAGGCTTGTATTTAAGATTCAAACTCAGACTCCCAAGAAGAAAACTATTGGAGAATGCTCTTTATCACTCAGAACACTTAGCACACAGGAAATGGATTACTCTTTGGATATAATACCACCTTCAAAATTTTCTGTAAGTAATAATAGTATGGTATGTGAAAAGCATTTTATACTTTTAGAATAGTTTCATGGATTGGGTTTTTCTTTGTTGGAGGATAACTCAAACAGCAGAATATAAGAGGATCAAGAAGACTCAAAAAACAATAATATAATTAAAAATGCTATTTTAGAAATTATTTTTTGTTCTGTTTTGTTTTGGATTTTGTTACAAGGTCTTGTTCAGGCTGACCTTGAACTCACTATGTCAGTGGTGGTGACCTATGGCACATGTGCTGCAGTAGGCTGTGTGCTATCATTGAAAGCTCTAAAACATTTGCCATCACTGCGCTGTGAGGTCCAGGGTACATCAAATTCATGGTGATCCTCCTGCCTCAGCCTCCCTCTCAAATGCTGAGATTACAGGTATGGACCACAGGCCTGAAAGACATAAGTAACAAGGGTTAACGTAAACATTTTTCTTTCTCCCATGGAAAATAACCTTGGGTTACCTGCTATAATTTTTTTATTAATATCTTATATTTCAGGGGCAAACCTCTAAACTGTGGAAAACTTTAAGTAATTAATTTTTTAATGTTTAGTGATTTAGAAAAGACAAGAATAATCGTAAACTCCAAATTCTGTCTGATTGCCCTGAAATAGATTTTTTAAAAAGTTATTTTAAACTCAGGTATGCGGCCACACACCTGTAATGCCAGCCCCTGACTGGCTGAGACCAGAGGATCACAAATTTGAACTCAGCTGGGCAATTTAGTAGATTAAGGAGATATTCCTTCAGAATTAAAGAGGACAAATGAGCTGGGGGAGGAGCCATATGAAGACCCTGAGCTCAGTCCCCCATATGACAAAAAGAAAGCTCTTTTGACCATGAGTAAGGGCTGTTCACAAATTGGTTAGGGTGTTTTGTTTTGTTTTGATGGGGTGGATGGGGTGGGGTAGCAATACTGGGAATTGAACCCAGGACCTCAGGCATGTTGAGCTCATCTACTGCTTAGCTGTAGTCCAGCCCAAAAGGGAAGTTTTTTTGTTGTTTTGGTTTGTTTGGGGGAGGATTTTTTTTGTAAAAGCCACCCATAAGCATGTTTAACATATTCCTAGTATATGTCAAATTCCATGTTTTTTCCTCTATACTGTAGTATCTTTGCATATAACTCTTAAAGAATTTTGGTATCAAATATGTTTATTTTGTGTTGGATAATAGAGCCATGTCTTAATTTTTTTCTTAATATCAATCCTACTTCTATAATTCTGTGATAAGCAAATAAATATCACATAAAAAGAAAAAAAAAACATATTCCTACCAGCTTTTTTTTTTTTGATGCTTAGAACGTGTACAATTTATTTTTTATTTTTTCCCATAATTTTATTGATAAACAAATAGCAATGAGACAGTTTCAAATCAAATTGGTAGGACAGTTTCAATAATTAACACATTGCATACATTCTTCCTAGTAGTTAATTGCTGTACAAGATGCAGACATGATATCCTATTTACAAACACCATTAGAACAAATCATTCTATTCATTAAGAGAATGTAACTATATATCTATCCTAACCACTTTGAATACACAGATAAAAAATGGACATTCATCTGTATACCCTTTTTTGTTAAGTTTCGTTATTTGAATATTATAGGTGTGTAAACTCAGCAAAATATTCTAAGAGAGTCCAGTAGCCCATAATAGTATTGGGTCTTCCGCTTGATTGGCAATGTCAGAAATTTCCTACCAGCTTTGACTGTCCTGTTGGACAGCTTGTACTACTAGTGGTAGATGCATGCTTCACAGGTGTGGTGCTCTATGGAACAGTCATACACATACACCAGTGGGTCAGCGCCACCACCAGAAAGACATATGAATTAGGGCCCCATTGTGAGCATGTTACTTTGCAGTCTGCAGGCTGCTTGATTCCCTACCCCATTTATTAAAAACGTTATAGTAACATTCCTTTAAAAAATGAAGTTTTGTTACTTATAGGCATAAACTGTGATAGATAGATAGATAGATAGATAGATAGATAGATAGATAGATAGATAGATATTCTATGTGGCTTAAGGCAATTCCTCTTCATTTAAGATGTACCCCAGAGAAGTCAAAAGGTTGAATACCTATGGTTTTTTATTGATTTCTTAGGCCTTATATTTGTTTTCTCAAACAGCCTGCTGGATATTGACTTTAAAGTGTTTAGATAGTCTTGATAATTTAATTAGATAGTTTTTGTGTTATGATAATATTTATAGAATTTTCATAAATTTTATAATGTCAAACATATTAAATTGTGTGTGATATTAAATTTACATAAAATTTATATTTTACCTACTTCCAAAAATATCTAAGATGGTTTGAAGTTTTACTTAACCTTTGCGACAGGTTAGACTCACCTAGGAACTTTTTTTTTCCCTTAGGAAATTTATTTGGATTAAACTGTTCTTTACACAAACAGATGCTCCCACCATTTTTGCCAATGTAGGTTACTGAAAGGTTTAAGAAGATGCAGGAATATAGCTCTTGATATATGATCTGAAACATAAAATTTGGCCTTCAGCTTTTTTAAAATTTTTTTCCATAATTTTATTGAGAAATAAATAGCAATGAGACAGTTTCAAATTAAATTGGTCGGACAGTTCCAATAATTAACACATTGCATACTGCCTTCCTAGTGGTTATTTGTTGTACAAGATGCAGACCCGATATCCTGTTTACAAACACTATTAGAACAAATCTCTCT